AGGCACCATGGTGAATCTAGAGGAAGGAAAGAGGGTGTGTGTGTGTGTGTGTGTGTGTGTCGAGAAAAAGATGAGCAAGTGCATGAGCAGGACCAAGTCAGAACTGAGATGTGTAGAGCAGCACATAAGAAAAGAACTGCACTAACATATGAGGGCTCTTGGAAAATGAATCTAATGAGAAAACTATGCATGGAAATAATAAAAGGTTCTGTAGCAAAACAAAAGAAACATCTAGGTATACTTGCAACAAAATATGCAAAATCTCTATGAGGATCACCACAAAGCTCCTAAAAAAGTCTCAAGGAAGAATTAAACATTTGGAGACACATTCTATGGTCATGGATTGGAAGACTCATTCTAGCCCAGATAGCTGTATTTCTTCACTTGATAGACCAACGCAGTCTTAATCAAAATCCTATCAACAGGGCCAGTGCTGTGGCGTAGCGGGTGCTGGCATTCCATATAGGCGCTGCTTCAAGTCCTGGCTGCTCCTCTTCCAATCTAGCTCTCTACTACGGCCTGGGAAAGCAGTAGAAGATGGCCCAAGTGCTTGGGCCCCTACCATCTGTATGGGAGAATCAGATGAAGGTTGGGGCTCCTGGCTTCAGATCAGCACAGTTCCAGCTGTTGTGGCCAACTGGGGAGTGAACCAGCAGATGGAAGACCTCTTTCTCTCTCTCTCTCTCTCTCTGCCTCTCCTTCTCTGTGTAACTCTTTGAAATAAATCTTTAAAAAAAAATCCTATCAACATGTTTTACAATTACCAAACTGATTTTAAAATATATGTGGGGATGAAGATACCCCGAAGATCCCACCACCCATAATTGAAGATGAACATATTGGAGGATTGACGTGTCACAGCTTCACTAACTTAAGAGACAGCCAGTCATGGCAATGTGGGACTGGTGAGAGTCAGAATGGTAACCCCGGAAGAGACCTTCAGGAATACAGTTATCAGATCTTTGACAAGAAAGCAAAGTGATACAAAGGAGAAAATCTTAAGAAAGAGCACCAGGTTTGTGAAATCTCCATTCCAGGAGAGGGCAAAGGACTGTCACCAAAGGCAGGTGGCTTTCAATGGAGACGGATGTCTGCAGGTCACCCTGCACATGGCTGACCAGGGGAGGATGGTTCGAGGCCATAGGCACCAGGAAAGTCTCTAGGTGTGCGTTCCCATTAGTAACACTGTTTAGGGCATGCGGCTGGACAGGTGGATGCCTGCACATCTCTGAGTACACTGCGGTCCACCCAGGAAGCCAGGGCAGAGCAGGGAGCACAGGACAGGCTTGACCTGGACAGGGGCCTTCCCATCCACTTTGCCTGCCCTGTAGCAACCTTGCCTGCAAGCTCATCATCAGGCTCACATCTTCCCCCAGATAAGGAGCAGAAGAAGCAGGTGAAGAGTCCAAAATATGACCTTACGGTTCCCAGGAACAAGAGGACCAGCCTCGAGCACTGGAGAACAGGAGCAGGCTCAGGACTGGCCCATGGCTGTGGCTCCCCACCCTGGAGAGATGAGTCATCAGCACAGTAGCCACTTGTCACCCTCTATCTCGTCAGCTTCTGGCCTCAGTGTGATTCTGCAAAAAGCACCCTGTGGGGACCAGCGATTCTGAGCCCTTGGGGTCCTGCCACTGACACAGCCATGGCTCATTCAAGACCGGAGTACAGAGTGGGCAACTCCAAACCAGACTCAACAGCTAGAGAATCCTGGGCCTTCCAGACCCAGGGGAAAATGGCTATGGCCTAACCTGCCCCATTGGGATGACCCAGGTGGCTTCTGATGAACAGGGCCTAGTCGCCTTTTGGAGGTCGTGTGGGTTGAGGAAGAGGCTACAAGTGTCAGGGACCCTTGGAGAACTGGGATGCTCTCTCTGCCCAAGGTAGGGTTCCAGACTCCTTCCCTGTGGAGCCTCCAGGCCAGGAGCCTCTGAGCCAGGAGTCTCTTCTCCCAACGTCAGGGGACACATTCTCCATGCTAATGACCCCTAGTGACAGCATGACCTGGAGAAGCTGAACCCACTGTGACAGCAGCCCAGGAGGCCTGAGCTGCTAGAGGGCATGTGGGCATCTGGCCAGCCAGGTGTGCCACCAGGACCACCTGGACATTCTGGGGCTGCCTCCACCCACTGGCATCCTGGTCTGTGGTCAGAAGTGCCCTGGGGTCCTCTTGCAGGCTCAGGCCATGAGATGCTGGATTGTGAGATGGGGCAGGGAGGAAAGAAGAGTGGGAACCTGGTGCCCACACACCCAGGACAGTGCACAGAGGTGATCATGGGCCTGGTCCTTGGCTGGGCCCACAATCCTGAACTGTCCCAAAGACCACATGTACCCAGCCACTGCTGCTCCTCCAGTTTTCCTCTGGTCCACGCTGGGCACAGGTCAATCTCAGGAAGTGATGGAGCACCCCGAGCCGGGTCTCCGCCTGCATCTGGAGGCTGTGGCACCTCCAGCCTCTTGCAAGGGACTCAGGGACCCTGTGTGGCAGCTCGGCTCCAGGGGTCACAAAATCAAAGGCATTCTGAAACAATTTAATACACAATCAACAAGGGGCAGAAGTTCCCGAGGGTTCCTTCACAAAGGCGGGAGGGGTATGTGGCAGCCCACAGGTGCCTGGGTTCATGTCCTATCTCATCTCCTGCTCTGAGGGTGCCCATAGCAACTGTGGCAGTGGACTGGCTCCTTGGCCGAGATGAGCCAGCGTGAGGCCACTCAGGGAGGGGGAGAGGAGCTCCAGAGTGGAGCCTTGTCAATTGGGGAGGCCACCAGGCATAGAGAAGCTAGATGCTGGCCGAGTTGAGCTAGGGTGAGGAAGCTCAGGGAGGGGAGAGGAGCTGCAGAGAGGAGCCTTGTCAGGCAGGAGGCGCTGGGCATAGAGAAGCTAGGCTTCTGGCCGAGTTGAGCTAGGATAAGGCCTCATGGTGAGGGAGTGGAGCTCCAGAGAGGAGCCTTGTCAATCAGGGAGGATGCCGGGCAAAGAGAAGCTAGATGCTGGCCGAGTTGAGCTAGGGTGAGGCAGCTCAGGGAGGGAGAGAGGAGCTCCAGAGAGGAGCCTTGACCATCAGGGAGGCCGGCGGGCATAGACAAGCTAGCCTCCTTGGCCGAGATGAGCATGGGTGAAGCCTCAGGATGGGGGAGAGGAGCTCCAGAGAGGAGCCTTGTCCATCGGGGAGGCCGCTGTGCTCAGACAGCCTAAGCTTCTGGCCCGTCTGAGCTGGACACCTGGTGGGCTGTTCTTCCCCTCCAGGTGCCCACACACATCCAGCTCCTCCATGGAATGGGCAGCAAGGAGGCCTCGAGCCAGGGAGGGCACACAGGCCTGGTCTTCCAGTGCAGAGCTGGCTCCTGCAGGCTGCAGCCCGTGAGTGTCCCCAGAGTGCATGGGGCTCCCATGCAGGGAGGGCGTCTTCAGCCCTGCTCCCAGGGCTGGCACAGCCTGCATGGGCCCGGGATCCAGGGGCTCTGAGGCAGGTGGGGGAGGGGCCCTGAGACCCTGCTGGCCACCCAGCTCCAGGGGCCAGAAATCAGTGCCTTTGACAGGCGGGCTGAGATTTGGGAGGCCCCCCCATCGGGACAGGTCTCCCCTGCTCTGCAAGCTCTGTGGGGCCAAGAGGCCTGGGCCACGCAGAGACTCTGAGAACTTCACAGACAGGGCTGGGGACGAGGGCTCTGGGGAGGCACCCTCTTCACAGCCTCCCTCCTCATCCTCTTCAAAAATTGTCTCGGGCAGGACGAATCTCAGGTCCCGAAGCAGCTTTGGCCAGGGAGACGCAGGACACTCAGCAGCCTGGTCTTCCTCCTCTTCCTCCTCCTCTTCGTCCTCTTCCTGCTTCTCCAGGCCGCTGTAGTACTCCTCGTCCTCAGAGTCGGAGTCATCTTGGAAGGTCACGTTGAGTTTGGTCAGGGAAGTCCAGCGCCGGAGGGGGCCTGGCTCGTCCAGCCAGGAGCACTGTGGGCCCGAGAGGTGGGCGGCGCCCCCTGACCCTGAGGCCCCCGTGGAGGAGCCCTGGCCGCGGGGCTGGGTGCTGCTCTTGCCACGACTGCCCTTCTCCTCCTTGGTGTGTTGCTTGGAGTCGGGCTGGACGGCAGATCCGAGAGGACCGGTCTCCCCGGGGACAGAAGCTGAAGCCCCCGCTGGCTCCTGGGGAGCTGCAGCAGCAGGGTGACAGCCTTTGCTCTCCTCAACGATGGTCTTGATGGACACTGGTGGGGGAGCACGCTCCTGAGAGCCAGGCGGCACCTGCAGGGCCGGGCTACCATCTTCGGTTGGCTTATCTGGAAAAAGAACAGATGGGTTTAATTTCTCCACGGCCACCATCTGGCCTGCAGGCTGCCTGCCCTGACCTGACCCTTGGGGTCCCCATTACTCGGTGTGATGCTCAGGACACCTCCAGCCTGCTGGCCGCAGAAGGAATGGTGCATGCAGCCTGGGCCATGGGAATGACAGGGACACCTCTGGTTCTCCCCTCAAAGCCCACAGACTGGACAGGCCTTGAGCCCCCCACCTCACTCTCTCATCTCTGGAGACTGCTGGCACCAACTCAGGACCCCATTACCTACCCCACCTGAAATCCTGGGCCCTAACAGTGCATTGGCTGAGTTACCCGCATCTGAGTCCCTCCTCAATTGTAGGAAGGGAACTGAGCCTAAGATGATGGGGGTGAGAGCTGGGGGTGTGTGGCAGACATGGGGTCTGGCCAGGCCCTCGGGGACAGGGAATGTGGTTTCCAAAGAGGTGGCAGGGGTTCCCTGTGTCCTCTGCCCCTGGGCCACAGTCCCTTTCCCGGTGAAACTGGGCTGTCATTGCTTCTGTCTCACGAGCACCCAGGGGAGGCAGCACCTGGAAGCACAGTGGGGACTTCCCAGTGTCTGAACAGGCTGCCCCTGGGCCCCCACTGCCAGCCTCTAGAGCTGGGACAAAGCCATCTCTGCTCTGCATGGGGACCCAGGTGCTCAGGTCCTTGTCAGCAGGGGACAAGAATGGGGACCCCTCTGCACCAGAGCCCAGAGGCCACTGCTGCTCCGGGTCCTGCTGACTTCTGTTGGCCCAAGGCTAGGACTGCAGAGCCCACACTCAGCTGAACTTGGGTTCTGCCGTGGGGGCCCCCAGCGCCTGCCTCTGCGCCCACCCTGCTCACAGGAGTGGACTCGGCCCCCACTACTGGGTTCAGGGCACGTGGGCCTTCCAGGGGTCCTCAGATGGCTGAAGGGGATCCAGTGCCGGCTGGACCACCCCGCAGGAGGATCCAGGGAAGCTGCCCGAGGCCCCGCCAGGCCATGCTGTCAGAAGCTCCTGAAAGCAGAACTGCTGAGCCCAGGGAGGACAAGGAGGACTAGGAAGAGGTGAGTCCCTGGGTGGGGCTGCCAGGGCCTGGCACTCCCACTACTGACTCCCCCAAGGGAGCATGGGACGGGGCCATGTGCTGGACTCACCTTCGGGAGGCAGGAGGCACTGCAGCTTCCCCAGCTCATGCATGGAGGCCCGCAGCTGCCTGATGACTGCATCCTCGCTCAGTGACCAGGCCTGCTTCAGGGTCACCTGCAGGAACTCCCGGATGTGGTCCCTGGACATCTTCATCAGGCGCTCTGGACATGGGGGTGGGTGTCAGGCTAGGAGGAGCCCTAGGGATGGTGCAGCCACCATGGCTGCTCCAACCCTTGTTTCTGCTGCAACCCCTGACCCTGGCCCTGTCCCCCACTTGCTGGCCCTGAGGCTCAGCCTCAGCTTGGACCACCCTCAGCAGGACAGGGCCTGCCTGGTCTGCACAGCAGGCTCCTTCCTGTGTCTGCTGGGCCTGGGGAAGCTCAGCCCTGCTCAGAGTCACAGGCCACCAGGTCAAGAGAGCCAGGCAGTGGGGAAGGAGCGCATGCAGGAACTCCTGGATGTGGTCCCGGGGCATCTTCAACATGGGCTCTGGACATGGGGGTGGGTGTCAGGCTGGGAGGCGCCATTTTTGGGGGTTGGGGATGAAACGGGATTCGCAATGCCCCCTAAGCTGGCCAAGAACTCAGAAAACTTGTCCCTCCCCTAGGTTCTGCTCTCCCGGGCCAAGCATGGGACCCCCCAACTCCTCCATCCCCAGCACCCAGGCCTCTGTGGGCCCTGAGGACTTACTTCGGTGGACCTTGAGGACGGTGTACACCATGCCGGTGAGTACGTGCGCGCCCTCAAGGATGTAAATGTCGAACATCCGAAGTGCCAGGGGGAACGGCACCTGGGGGACAGAGGCATTGGAGGACCCCGCGCGTCAGGGCCTCAGCAGGGCCCACAGTGGGTGTGTGTGCAGTGTCATAGGGCATCCTAGCTGTGCCCTAGAAGCCCAGAGAGAAAGAGCACTAAGGCCTATCCAGGACCCTGGTGCCACCCAGACTGCTCTGCACACTTTGGAAGCCACCCTGGAGATGCCAGACAGCCCAGGGACCTGGGGGAGGGGTCAGCCCTTGGGCTGTGCTGAAACCAGCCTGTGGCACCCAGGGTCTATGGATCTCCTGCCTCTCACTGTAGGGCTCTGGCCTTTGCCAGGCTCTCAGGATGGGTCCTGGTGGGACCTGTCCCCTCCTTGCTGTCCCTGAGGCTCAGCCTCAGCTTGGACCACCCTCAGCAGAGCAGGGCCTGCCTGGTCTACACAGCAGACTCCCTCCTGTGTCTGTTGGGGCTTGGAGAGCTCAGAGTCACAGGCCACCAGGACAAGAGAGCCAGGCACTGGGGCAGGAGCTTCCCTGGGCAAGGGGTCCCCGGGGCACTTACCCCATCCAGGAAGCACTGGATGTACCAGTGGGCGGTGTAGTCCTCAAGGCACACACCCTCCTTCTCCTGAGAAGAGGCAGAGGGGGCTCAGGGCCCAGGGCCCAGGGCCCAGGGCCCAGGCCTGACTCCCTCTAATCTGAGCCCTGTGGCAGAGCCCCTGGGTGCAGGAAGCCCAGCAGCAGGTGCATCCCCCCTCCCAGCCATGCAGATTCCTGAAAGGACACAGGTCCCTCAGTCCACTCTACCCTGGGGACAGCATCTCCCTTCAATCTACACAAACTCTGGGGGAACAAGTGGTGGAAAACACACCAACACCCAAGCTGCCACAGACCCCAGTAACAAGGAAAGTCTTGGTGAGGACGTAGCCTCCCCTGGCCCAGGAAGCAGTCAGGACCCCTCTCTGTCCTCCTCTCCCTCAGCACAGAGCCCCCGAGGGGAGAAAGGAGATGTTTACTTACCAGGTGTTTCTCCAGGGAGGGGAGCACGCGACGCATGATAGCTCCCAGGTGGTGCTGGAATCGCTCCAGTTTTGGGGAGTCCGGTGTGTAGAAATCTGAGTAATAGCAACCCCCCGGCCCTCACTTCAGAGTGTCTTCCCGGGAAGGCTGGAAAGTCAAAGGCTTGGGGCGGGATCTTTCTGAACATGGAGGGTCAGGGGAGGCTCTAACAGGCAGGGGAGCCTCAGGGGAAGGGGGGTACAGCTGACAGCCCAGGGCAGGCTGCCTAAGGTGACCTCTGGGCTGACTGCAGTCACACTGGGTGCCTCAGGGCCATCTGGACACTCAGGGTGAGGAGGGGTCACCCTAGAATGGATGCTCCTTCTGCAAGGGTGTGGCTCAGTGGGTGGGAGTCTGAGTAGAGATGTGAAGCAGTAAGACCAGTAGAGACCTAAGGGTCATTTGTCAAAGACAAGGCACAGGACCTTTGTGTGATGGGAAGTGAGGGGTATGGCTTGGTATTGGGCCCTCTGCCGGCCATGGCTTCTAAGGAACCATCCTGAGGGAGACTGCCCTATGCACGCAGCAGCCAGTGAGGGACAATGTCCCAGTCACTTGTCTGCATGCCCATCCCTGCACTTGCAGGACCACGCCCACCACACCCATCACCCACCATGCATCGCGTGCTGGCTGTCCCCCATGAGCTGGACTAGTGCCCAGAAAGCATCCTCTTCACTCAGCCACATCAGCAGCAGGGCTGCCACGTGGCTTAGGCCCTGGCTGTAGCCCAATTCCTGGAAGAACACAAAACACATCAGAGGGACCTCCCTGGCTGGGATGATCTCACGTGGCAAGGGTGACCTCTCCTGGGAGAGCTGAGCATTACCACCAGGCCCCACTGCTGCCCCTTGGGTGTCAGGATCTCTCAAAGTTCCTGGAGAGAATCCTGCAGGGTCTGAGCGCAGGCTGTGCAGGGTTAAGAAGAGGTATGAGCCCCACCCCAGATGTCAGGAAGGGGAAGACTGTTGTGGGAGTGCAGACTGCACACCCGTGATGGCCTCTGGAGCTCTCTGCTGCACAGGTGCCCTGCTGGGCCCCACTGCAGACGTGAGGAAGAAGCACCATAGTAAGGTCTGCCTGGGCCAGAACAGAGCCCAGCCCAGGAGAAGGCTTCCGGTCTGCCCCAGAACTTGAGGTTGGGGCCAAGGAGGCCATGAGCTTGAACTCTACCCCTCAGTCTCTGCCTTGTGGATTAGAGAGGCCCCCTCAACCCAGGCTAGGATTTCTGTGACCAGGGGCACCCTGCATGGACAGCTCTGGATATGACCTTGGAACGTTATCGCAGAATACTCACGGGGTTGTACATTGAGTATGCGAGGAGCACCTCAAATAAGGAGCGTTGTCTGGAAGAGAGAGGACAGAGGCTGTGCGTCCAGTGCTGCCGAGGCTCTCAGTGTGGCTCTGCCTAACAGAGCCTGACAGCCACACGCAGGGCCCTTGATACTCTGCTCATGAGCAGTCCACCGTGTGGATGAGTGCTGCCTGCAGGGACATGCACATCTCCCAGGGTGCAGTCATGTGCAGTTTCGTTTCCCCAGGTGGGTGTTCATTGCAGAGGTGAGCGTCCCACTGTGGGAAGTGCAGTCCCGTGGGTCTAAGCCATGGAGAGTCAGCCTCCCATGCACGTTCATTCTGATAGGGAGCAGCTCCTGTGGCCTATCTGTTCCCCATGAGCCTCTGTGGCCAAACTCCCCACCTCCCCCAGCCCGTGGCCACCACTGCCCTGTTGTGTGTCCCGGATTTGGCCTCTTGCAGATGTCCTGTGAGTGGATCACAGCACGTGTAGCCTTTGAGGGACGCTTCCTCTCTTAGCAGGATGCACCTGAGATGCATCCAGGTGAGCCCAGGGCCGAGCCTCGTCCTGCCTCTCACTGAATCCCGTTCTCGGATTCAGCTGTGACACGGGTTGCTTATCCGTTTCCCCACTGAGCATTGTGCAGGCTAGTCCTGTGTCCAGTGACTGTGAACACAACCCTGAATCTTGCGTGAGGGTTTTATGCACTCAGCTGTTCTGGTGGTTGTGTAAATGTGCGTGTGTGCTGGGGTTCGTGTGGAAGGTGTGTGTCTCTCATTGTGAGAAATGGCCCTGGGTGCTGCTGGGGGCCTGGGCACTGTGCTCTGTTCCTGCAACGAACCGGAATTGCGCTCACCTCACGTTTTCCCCAGCACCCGGCGTTCAGTGGTCTTAGCTCCCCCATTCTCACAGCTGTGCGCTGGTGCCCCGTTGTGGTTTAGGTGCTAAGCATGTTTTCACGCGTTGAGTAGGAGAATTGTGTGTGCCATCATGCAGGGGCCCTCCTGAGCCTTGGCCCATGTCAGGGCAGGGAACCCTCATTTGCTTTCTTATTATTGAGATTTACAAACTTCATTTTCTGTATTTTGCAAATACTGTCTCCCCTTGTGTTCCTTTTCATTTCATTCCCACCAAAGTGTCTTTGGGAAAGCAAACTGTTCAGTATAAATATAGAAGGCCATGGATCCATTTTTTTCTGTCCAAGAGGAATTATGCTTTAGGTGTGAGCCCACGTCTCTCCTAGGACCCCATGTGTCCCAGGACCCTTGCACCTCCCTCCCCCAGGGCCCCTCCAGCCCAGAGGCCTCACTTGGCTCCGTATCGCTCTCGAAACATGATGTGACTTCTGAACGTGCGTGCTACATCTTCATCGATCTGTTGGACTTGATCTGAGCACAACCTGGCCCGTTCCTTCATCTCCTGCAGGGCAGGGCCGAGGGGGAGGGGCCGGCCTCAGGACGAGCCAACCCCCACTGTCACACAAGCACCCCAAAGCCACATCAGCTCTTCTGGTTGGCAGGGAGAGTTCCCCCTGGGAGCAGCTCATTCCCCTGATCCAGGGAGGGTCATGGGTTCCCCACTCACCTTAGTGTCCACGCCACCCCCAGTGCCCAGCAGAGGGGCCACTGCGGACCCGCTACAGTCAGCCTGAGGCCAGGGGCTCTGCCAATGTCCTTCTGTGCTACCTCTGCCTTCCCAGAGCAGGAGAGACTGAATCAGGCCTCCGAGCCTCCTCACTGGGCTCTCAGGCCCCACAGGACAGGAGTCAGCCTCACCCTGACCAGCCTTCAGGGCTGCCCCCTGCAGGAGAGCCCCAGCTCCATCAAGAGAGTGGACACCCTTCTTGGACTTGGAGCTGGCCCCAGGGGCAGCCCCCACTTGAAGACTTGGGCGAGGGCGGGGCTGGCGGCTCAGTTGCTCCTTGCTCCCTGATGTCAGCCAGGGAGGTGACAGCCCAGGGCCAGCCCTCTGATGGATCAGCCCTCATTCCCAGGAGCAGTTGAGAGCTGACTCTGACCGATGGAACCAGCAGGCCAGGTGGGGGCTGGGTGAGCTGAGGCCAGGCCAGGCATGAGAAGGCCCAGGTGAGGGCAGGGCCCGGCGAGCATAACAAATGCACAAGCAGGGTCAGGTGTGGGGAGGGCCGTTAGGGACAGAGCCAGCTGAGGGCCCTAGCACACAGGACTTCCACCTCATTCCAGGCATTCTCTATCCATTCAGGACCCAGCACAATGGCACTGGGCAGTCCTGGACCTAGAGGCAAGGGGGAACCACAGGGATGAGTGCTGTGGCCCTGACCGGATCCTTGTGTCTAGGCCCATTTGTGTGTGGGGAGACATGGAGGAGGCTTCTGGGGAGACGTGGATGAGGCAGAGGGGAGGGCCGGGTGGGGGCCCCAACCAAATGACCACTCCTCCTTGGCATTACTTGTCCACCACACGGGAGCCTTGCGCTCCTGAGCAGGCCCGAGCGGGTCGGCCTGCCTCAGATTGCACGCAGAGCCATACCTCGAATTTGCCAGGGTTCTGGGCCTTCCTGGTATCCACGGAGAGCATCATGGCCCACACCTTGCCACGCACCTGGGCAGGGATGCCTTTCTCAATTCTCCGGTGGAACTACAGGAGAGAGGAGGCTCTGGTGAGACCCGCCCCAGGCCCTCTGTTGGGGGGGAGCATAGGGTGAGACAGCAGGAAGGGGAGCCCTGGGCTCTGTGCTGTGTCCCCAGATCTGCCTGGACCTGGGCCTCCTGACCCAACAGTGAGAGGAGGGCCGAGGGCTCAGTGCAGGCTCTGTGGTGCACTCACTGCCCACACAGGGCACCAGGAACTGTGCCTGCCCTGCATCTGGGAGTGGCCCCAGGGGAGACTGGATCTTCTACTGCGACAGTGTCCTGGGTGCAAGGGCATTGGGCTGAGATGACCTGTGTCCTTTCAGGGCAGGACAGTTGTGTCTGAGAGGCACAGCGATGGGCACTGTCCATCCCAACTCCACCCCCAGTGGTCCCCAGGGGCCCTCAGGTCCAGGTACCTTCTCACTGCTGCGGTACTTGGTGAAATTTCGCAGCATCTTGTTCCATTTTTGCAGTCGGCGGCCCTCCTGATGTTTACGCTGGGAATGGAGACAGGATGGCGTGAGCTCAGCAGTGTCCTCTGAGGGAGGCCACGGATGCAGCTCAGGAGCCTGTGGACAACTCAGCTGGGAGGAGCCAGCAAAGGGGCAGACCACAGCACCCAGACCTTCCAACTAGGGGAGCCTCAGGGGCTTGAGTATAAATAAAAGGACAAGCATCCTCAAGCTAGTCCCATCTCATCCAGGAAAGTGGGTCACAGTGGCCCACAGGCAGGGACCCAGAGCTGCAGGCCTGCACTGGGGTATGTGGGCCTCAACAGATCTCCTGGGGACTGCTGTCCCTGGAGGACCATATGGCACTCCTCTAACCACTGCCCATACCCACAGGCCTGCTAGTTCTGCCTCCTAGATGAAGAGTCCATGGCCAAGGTCAGCTTACCCATTGCACTGCCAGGCATCCATGCCTGGGCGGCTTCTGCTTACTGAAAAGCAAGAGAGACAACACCATGAGAATGGGCACTGAACCAAGCATGGTCCACTTCCCCAGCAAGGCTGGGAGAAGACCTGTGTCCTCCTCACCCTGCTGAGGCACAGCCCAGTGCACAGAGAAGGGCAGGGATGGGGCAGCCATGCTGCAGGCAGACACCCAGCAGGGGCTGGGGCTTGAGGCACCTGGGACCACCACACCCCCAAGGTTATCCCCCACCCACCTTCCCCACTATGCACTGGCCACCTGAGGTGCCTGCTCCCCACCTCACCCTCCTCTGTTAGCCCAGACTGTGGCCATCTCTCTACCCTTGGCTCCTGCTTTTTCTCCAGGTTCTGGGCACAACATGGAGCCAGAACCCCCTATCCCGTGCTAAGGTGGGCTGCTCAGTCATGCCAAAGACGGCCCAAGACGGCTCATCCCTCTAGATCACCGGAGCCTACCCTCCAGACATGGGGCTGCTCTCCCTGACATCTGTTGGAACAGCCTCCAATCTGACTCCTGCCCGCAGGCCCCACTCCTCCCAGCACAGACCCGGGGCTGGGCCCTCAGCTGCACCCTCCCTGTGGTCTGTACTGTGGGAGCCTGCAGGCAGGCTGAGAGCTGCAGAGGCCACACTGCTGGCCATCTCTCAGACTAGGTCTTAATAAGCCTTTAGCCTAGCCCTGAGGCTGAGGCCCCTGTTGGACAACTGCCCACCTGCTAGGCTGGTGCCCCAACCCTGTGGACACAGCTATGGGGTGGCGATGGCCAGGCTGTGTCCCTTGGGAGCAGGGCAGGACCCTCAAGCCACCACCTCTACTTAACATGAACAGATGCCTCAGAGTAAGAGTGCCAGTGTCTACCCTACAGCCAGCCCTTTCCCATCCTGCATTCTTGAGTCACAGGGTCACTCGGCTCTGCCCGTATACTGACCTGTGCCTGCACTGTGACAACAGCTTGGATCAAGGAGGGGGCCTGGGGACAGGTGTGCTACCTAATGGTGGGGTTTCTGACCCTGGTCCCTCCCCTGGGTGGATCGGGGTGCAGAGGACTCACCGCAGGAAGCCAAGTTTGTCTGGGACAAGGGCTCCACTCTCGTTGTCCTCTTCTCCCAGGTGAAACTGGGGCCCTTTACGGGGACCCTGCAGGGGAGAGGGGACCCAGGTGAGAAGTCCGGGTCTCAGCCACTGGGGGAGCTGAGCCACCCTCCTGCTGTGTCCCCAGGGAGGTGGGGTCTGGCTCTCACAAGCACAGTACTTGAGGCAGGGTCCTACCTCCTCCCCCAGCACCCTGGCCCGTACCTGCTCATATTTCAAGATGGTTGCTGCTCGCTCCTGGGCCCTGCCGGACCTCAGGGCGTCCATATCCAATCTGTAAGACACACACGCACTTGTGAGCCAGTACAGGGGAGCCCACGGGAACTGTTGCCCTGAGGTCTGTCCCCGTGGTCAGAGGGGGGACAGCCACAAAGCCAGGTGGGCGGGCACCTGGTGGTCGGGTCCCAGGAGGATGACTTGTTCAGAGCACAGGGACTAGGGATGGTTGGGGAAGGACAGCCCCCACCTTGCCTCCCCTGCCCTCAGAAAGGATGCTCCTCCCCCAGCCTGGCATCCACGTGTCCTCCAGGGAGCCCAAGTCTCCCTGGCCCGCTCCCAGCCCCCGAATCTCTGGAGCTCTCAGAGGTGGACTCACTGCCCCACCTGACACCAGCTGATCCAACACCTAGACTTGAACCTGTGTCCAGACACAGACTCACACCAAGGCCCATTCGACACTGATGCCCAGCAGAGAGGGAGGAATGAGACGACTATATACACACTCTGCACACAGGGGCCGCTGAGAGCTCAGCCACAACACTCATGGAACCTGGCGTGGGAGACCAGTGCCACCCACCTGGCGTGACCTTCCCTGCGTCACAGGTCACGCAGAGAGCAAGTCTCACTCACCTCCTTCGAGTATCCATTAGATTCTATGAAATGTGCTTCCTGCCTACGCTACCAACATCTGGTCAGTTGGGCAGTAGATGCACGACTGGCCACTGGTTGCCGACAACCAAGAGTGCACAATTCTCAGTGACTGTGATGTCACAGAATCCTGCCAGCCAATCCCAAGTGGCTCTGCTGTGGCAGGGGTCAGGGTTCTCAGCCCTGGCTTAATTAAAGGTCACCAGAAGTGGGGCCTGTGTTCTCCCCAGGGCCCAGGTGAAGAGGGCAGGGCTCTGGCAGAACTGCCCCAGAACCAGGGGTGCCAGGGCCCTCTGCCACCTGCCATAACGGTCCCAAGTCCCAGGCAACCTGCACCTACTGCCCCTCATTTCTTCCTCTGCCATTTTATTACAGCCCAACTGTGAAGTCCTCTTTATTTGAACACAAGGTGGAACAGGGTGCCCCATCATGGCCAGTCCTTCTTCCTGAGGTTCCCACACTCGGGGCTGCCCCTGAATGACCTGAACGGAGACTCCCAGGGTTGCAGCCTGCTGTCCTACCACAGGCCTGACCCCAGCACTCCCAACCCCTGCTGACCCCTCCTGCTCTGTTCCAGCCCCTCTTCCCAGGAGTTTTAGGAGGTGGACACAGGGGGTCCTCCTGGGATGGAGGGCAGGGGAGCCGCCCGCTGAGCACCACCTGCATAGGACCTCAAGCTGGCATGGCCCAGACTGTCCAGAGCGGGAACCAGGGCCCTGTCCTGACACTGACCAGGGCTTCAGGCACAGAGTGCTGAGAACTCCTGGGCACCAGCTCCTGAGCCGCATGCTGGTAACACCGGGCTGCTGCTGACCATAAGGACAGGGACAGCACATGTCGGGCAGGAGCAGCCACAGGCCCGCAGCTCCCCAGGGTGCTGATCACCAGGTTGCTCCCTGCAGGGAAAGCGACTCAGCCCTCCCCCAGCACCTCCTTGGTCCTGGGCCCCACACTGCCCCTAGGCTGCCACCTTGGGGCCACAGTCGGTTCTTTTCCCTCAAGGGCCTGTTGTTCTGCCTCTCTGCCCACTTCCCTTGCCCTGGCATGGGGACCACAGTGTCCAGGGCCCTGGTCACCAATACACCTGCTGGCCTCCTCTGCGGGTGGGAACGAGTACACAGCTGTGTCATGTGCAGAGATGCTGTCCAGCAAGACTTGGGTTTTAACTGATTCTGTTATTCCCCTCCCCACTCAGCTTCTCCTCTTTTAAATATCATTGTACATTCTTTTGGAGATTCACAAAGTGCTGTAAAATAACACAATGAATGATGACTAGGGATCACCCAGCTTCAGCAGTCAAATATTCTTAATTGTATGGAAGATGCCTATGGGTTTCCTTTCTCTGCCTGGGTTCATTCTCCAGATTCCCTAGGGTTAGTGGTCTCCAGATTGCATTTTTCTCCACTCGGGGTGATGTTTTGCTCTCGAGTCAGACTCAGGAGCCGAGGCTGGGGATGGATCCCGGGTGGTACAGTATGGGATGAAGGTGTCCCAGTGGTATCTTCCCCACTATGCCTGCCCTGGGGTTGCTATCAGGGACAGGTCTGGTCCTCCTCCAGCCCCATCTCACTTGGGCTCCTGCTGGGTAATGCCGTCTGCCATGAGGCCCTCACCAGAAGCTGGTGCCCGTGCCACACTCTCGGGCTGGTCAAGCCACAAGCTAAAGTGAACTTTCATTTTCTAAGCAACGCAGCTTCAGGTATTTTGCTATTGCCACACAGAGTGGGCCAGGACTTCCCTCCAACTTCAGCAAAGTGCCCTCCAATGTGCTTGAAGGGTTTCTGAGAAAGCCTCTTCCCAGAGTATCAGGTGCTCCTCATTCCGGATTTCAGCAGAGGTCTCCTGAAAGCCCACTCTGGCTTCCTGTGCCACCTAAACACCCAGGCACTGAGTTCTCTTTTAGGGGTGGCTGGGAGTAAAGGCAGAGGCCAGCTCAGCAGCACTGCTCAGGGCATCTGGGAGTCCGGCAGGACTTTGAGTCCCTCCAGTCAACCTCAAGAGAGGGCACGGGACTCATTTGTGTCCTGAGAGACAGGAGATTGGCAGGTGCAGGGAAACACTGAGTCTGCGAATTAGCTGCCACTTCTTACAGGGCGCTCTGGAGCCGCTCCTGCGTTTCAAGTGAGCCATGGGCCCGCGTGCACGGCTGAGAGCTGTAGCTACTTGGCCGCAGAGATCACCTCTGACAGTGGGGCTTGAGGGAGCACAAGGTGAGCCTGCGTGCTAGGGCCCTTCCCACCCACAGCACGTGACCTCAGCACACAGACCAGACCCCTCCAGCGCGCTGCTCCAGCCCTTCCTTGAGAATTGCTCTGAGTCCCAGGGCCAAGGGCTCTGCTCCCGTGGTGTTCACGCACAGGCACAGCCACATCGCCTATGGGACCCAGCGTGGGAGACCAGTGTCACCCACCTGGGCAGGACCTTCCCCAAGAGCAAATCCCACTCACCTCCATCGTGAATCCATTGGATTCTGCCAAATGTGCCTCCTGCCTATGCTACCAACACCTGGTCAGTTGGGCAGTAGACGCACTACTGGCCACTTGTCACCTCACAGCCCAGAGTGTGCATCCTCAGTGACTGTGATGTCACAGAAGCCTGCCAGCCAACCCCAAGTGGCTCTGCTGTGGCAGGGGGTCAGGGTCCTCAGTCCTGGCTTTATCAAAAGTCACCACAAGTGGGGCCTGTGTTTTCCCCAGGGCCCAAGCGAAGAGGGCAGGGCTCTAGCAAGGGTGCCATGGAACCAGTGGTGCAATCCAGAGCACCTGCCCCTTTGTGTCAGGCTCCCTCTGGGTTCCTGTGGGGCTGTTTGGTGGGACAACTCAAGGGTTGAACTCTGCAGTCCTGATTTTTTTCATTTTTTCCTGAAGTGGCCAGGGCCCCATAGTAAAGGAGAAGTTCCAGTAGGGAAATCATCTAGAAACTTGGAATGCACAGAGGGAAGATAATACAAATCTCTCAGTGCCAAGTATGTGATGCCATGTATGTGATATAAATTTATAAGGTATTATTGCACATTTCAGAAATATATCACCACACTGTATATTCTAAATGTCTCCTACTGTTCTCGGCTTTCTGATTTCTCAAATACGTCTTCTGTGCTGTCAAATATATTTTAAAAGTAAGTATCTTTTTAATGGCCCAAAGTGGGTCACCTGGACAGAACAGGAGAAAAATCACAATTTCTCCTGGTGCTAAGTGCTTTGTACATGCAGAGGTGGCCAGAGAGAGGGAAAAAGGAGACTGCTCTTTTCCAGGTTGTGATGTAGGAGGGGTGAGGTTGACAAGGTGCATGGGCCCAGATGCTACCTGCAAATCTGGCTCCATGGTACCTTCAGGAGGGAAGAGAAAGGGGTGTGGTCTCTGCTGTCGTGGTGGGAGGGGACAGAGGGAAGGGTACCGCGTGTAGCATGGACCCTGTCTGGGCTATCCTATTTACTCCTCCTCGGGTCCCTGGGGGTGGCATTTTATCTCTGATCTGCCGACCAAGAATCAGGCCCAGGGCCAGGTAATGCACTGAGGGTCATTGCTTGGGCCTGGAGCCCAGGTGTCTGGGGCTCCACACCCAGCACTGCCAGCAGGGGATGCGAGGTTGGCCCTGTGTGTTTGCCCAGGGTGTGCCTGTGGGAGAGGCTGTTCTGAGTGTCTCTTTGGAGATAGTGGCCCTGTGACCTGAGCTCCTGCCCTAGCCAGCTGTTTGTCATCAGCACCTACCCTGGCAGCAGCTCAGCCTGCAGGCTTTCCTAAACATTTGCTTGAGGGGAGAGATGCCAGGGCCCATGCTGTGTCTTTCTTTCGCCAGCTCCCTTCTCTGCCCTTGTACACACAGCTGTCTATCAGAAGGGTGTTGAGTCAAGGCCAAGACCAAGGCTGTATTGCCCTGTTCACCTGTCAATCAGGGGTCCTCTCCCCAGGAAGTACCCCCTCTTATCCAGGACATTGGGGTGGTACCATGTAAACACTTCCGTTTTTTCGAAAGCTCATAAAAAGTGAGGAAGGACAGAAGCGCTCTCTCCTCATAGATTCAGGACAAGCAGAGCAGGGTATGATGACTCCCTTCCCTTAGCCCATTCTCCATTAATAAAGCCCTAATGGGCCTGTGTATTTTTCTCACTTTGTAACTAAAGTTTACCACACTGCAGGCTGTGTTTGGGCCTGTATTTAGAATTCTTCTCTAAGTTAAAGGCAAGAGTCTGGAAAATTAATTTAGGCCCAGACCAAGCCCATAACATTCCCAGTCCCAGACTGACCCACTCAGGAGTCGGGTCAGGTCCGTGGATCCCACCATTTTGGGAGACGCCCATGCTTTCACTGGAAGGGTCTCTGCCAGGACAGCTTCCCTGCAAGCCTGGGGCCCTGGTCCCATGCTCCCCTCACTGTCCGCAGGAGCTGTTGGGAAGCTGCTTTCTCAACCCCTCGGGCCAGGGCTGCCCTCCAGCTGTTGTCTCCAACCCCCAGGCCGGGCCCACACAGCTGGAGGTCAGGTTGGTTCTGACCTGCTGACTGTTAGCAGTGCAGTTTGTTCAGAACCAGTACTGCCCAGGCTGCAGGCGGGAGCCACAGCAGCACTTAGAAAGTTCCTGGAAAGTGGAATTGAAAGATGGGTTGCTTTTGTGTGTGGGGGAAAAATCTTTGTAATCAGTGCATACAAGGGGTCTACAGAACATTCTTGGAAATGTATATTATGAAAAAAAGTGCATGGACTTCAGGTTTTTTTTTTTTTAACCAAAATGAACTTGTCATTGAATTCCGTGTTCCATGAACATGAATTGCCCTCGTATTTTCGGTATCACTCGCATGCACACTGTGGCTCCACAATGATTCATTTGCTGCTGCTGTTGCTGTGTTCAGCTGTGTCCTGTGATAAGATGCTATCCACCTGCCCCTGAGGAACAGGCTGGAACCCTGTCTATGAGCATCACAGTCATTATCAGGGCCTGCTGCGTGCCCTGTGCTTGTTAGAGGCACTGCCTGCTATGGAACTGATTTAAGCATCATGCCTGTGATGATCCCCTTTTGCAGAGGAGAGAATGGCTCAAGGCCATTAAGCTGAGTTTTGAAAGGGGAAGGATTCAAACCCTGGCTGTCTTACTCCAAGGCCAGGACTTGTAAGTGCCTTATCACCTTGCACATCAGTGCTGCTCTCTCTCTCCTGGAGCTTGCATGGAGACTCTGATCCAGAGCAGCCTCTCAAAGGCTGAGCGGTGGAGTGACACAGACATGCTTTGAAACTGTCAGCCTTCTGGCTGTGGGCCTCACTTCACCCATCTATAAAATGGGTATAATGATTGCTCCTCTCTGGCATTGCTTG